CTAAATGTTAAGAAGAGCCATTTTGTCCTTTCAACAAAAAAGCCACCTTGGAAGCCACAACGTTTTATGCTAATTTTACCATCTTGTCTGTAAATATGTCTCAGCATGTGCTAATGTGTTAGTGTAGGCTAAAAGCTTTAATATAAATGGAAACAAAGACCTACTTTGCTTTGTTTTAAGATTCAGCTCAGCTATAGCTGTTTTTCTCGCATCTGCAGCAGGAAGCTTTTCCGCAAAAGTGGAATAGTTTCTTGTAAAATGTCTCTTAATGTTCTGTTTTTTACAAGGTTGAAGTCGCTTCTCATTCAGTAGCTTATTGTTCGAATATTTCTGTTCCATCTTAAATGGTGCCTGAGGTGCCAGAATGTTACTGCTGCCCCGTTTAAGGTGGAACAGGACAATTAGAACAAGAGGCTGGCGAACGAGAAACTGACTTCAGCTTTGCAACCGGTGTTTGACAATTTCTAGTTGCAGATTAGATGTATTAGGAAACCAGATGGAGTGATTATAAGTGCAAATAAGTCCATTAGTCTCTGGTTGTTGATGTTCATCTTAAATCTTTCTCTTTGCCTTTTTCTTAACTACTAGCTAGGTGAGATTCTTGTCTGCGTTGCTACAATGACTAGTTGTCTGCGCGCCAACCTTCAGGGTTAAAGGTTGGTGAATTAGCAGATATAGGCTGCATTAAGGGAGGATTATTTTATTTTTACCCAAAAATCTATTTCTGCTTTGGAGCTGCAACAGGGCAGTAAATGGGCTGGAAGCGGCTTCCGGAGCCGCATGTTGCTGACCCCTGGTATGGACGAATTTTGAGCAATACCTTGCCCTGCATGGAACTGAAATAGCTTTGACTCGCTTTTATCTCAAAATACACACTGGAAATAAATCATAAGTGGCATAATTGTATTCATTAGCAATGACATTCTTTGACTGGAGGACAATATCTGAAGAATCCAGTTTAGCGTACTTAAATCTGCCCCCAGAGTATTTGGTGCACTTGTATGTCCACACTGGCCATAGCCGATCACATGGCCAGAGCCCACCACATGGCAGACTGGGGACTGATTCCTTGCTTGGCCAAGCACATCACACTATACCAGTAAGAGTCCTTGGGCAAGACTCCTAATGCTACATTTGCCTACATCATTAATGCAATTAAGTAAGTCACTCTGGTTAAGAGCATCTACCAGATGCATAAATGTAAATGTAACATGGACCGGTATGTGGAACTGGAGCTTTCTGTCTGCTATCATGCTTCCTATCACAATGAGAGACTCCATGTTGCCTTTATTGTTGGATGCACTGCAGTAATTTCTGAATAAACATGTGCTCACATTCAGAAGGCAGTTCACAGCGCTATGGAAATGTTTATTATTGATTGGCTAATCAGAGGAACAATAAAAGGCCACTGAAGTGTGTAGTTGATTCCTATTCATGTGTTTTCTTGCTAAAAAAAGTAGCTCCCAATGGAATGATGGAAAAACATGTGGAATTTATACTAAATAACTGATATAAATAACACTTTGTATCTAATTGTACTCTGAATTTTTATGACAGACTTTATAACAGGCAGATTATTAGGATGTTTGTTCCAGGATAATTGGTCTTGTTTAGATGCTTTCATATGAACCTGGCTTCTGCTTCAGCAGTGCTGAATATGTTTCTGTACAGGCAGCAGGACAAGCCCATGTCCATCTGTTCAAGCTCAATTCTGCCATCCCACTCTCCGCCCCCTTCTTTTTCCTCTTTTGTACTTTGGCGGTTCAGATCAATCAGGCTTCAGCTGCTCATGCTGGAGAAAGAGACAGCCATGATGGATTCTGCTCTTTATTTGTAACGCAGCTCTCTTGCACGTTTCCCAGTCGGCACAGTGTGTTTTGCTGAATGCACCAGTTCTGTTGAGAGAAGCAGTATTGCGGAGAATTTCAGTTCCATTGAAAGAATCAGCTCTGTTGAAGGAATCAGTTCTACTGAATGAATCATTTCTGTTAAAAGTTTGATTTCTGTTGGTCGGTTAAAGCTCAGTGGCCTTGCTCTGTCCAGGCCTTCTGCCCTCTCACTGCTTGCTATCAGCTGGGCCTGTGTGTGTCTGTGTGTGATGTGGTGCCAGAGCAGCCTCCTGTGAGCCTGCGGCCTGCTGCCAGACGCAAGCGCTGGCCTGGTGGCCCTGCAGCCCAGCTGTTCTCCACCGTCACCACCAGCAGTAGTGCCAGGCTCAGCCTGCTCTCAGAGCCTGAGGCCTATAGAACAGAATCAGCATCATACAGCACACTCAGCCTTTAGAGTTCGCCTTCACACAGAAATATGAAAGACTGATGTTAAAAAAAGGAAAAAATGCTGAAAACATGTATTTAAAAGAAAATTACACATAAGCCTCAAAAACTAAATACAATATAATTTATATATAAATTATAATAGAATATTTTTTACAGTATTTATTGTGTCAATTTTTTGCCTTTATTACAGCTTCCATTCTTTTTAAGAGACTTTTTTCAAAGAAATCTGCAATAGATATTTTTTCACATCTCCACAGTTCAGTCTTAGAAGTTGGTTACATTTTCTGCTTCTCACCATTCAAATAATCTTAAACACATTCAGTGATGTTGAGGGCTGGGCTCTGAGGTGGTCAGTCCATGGTTCTGAGAACACCAGCAGATTTTTTGGGTGATTTCCTTATTTTTTGTCTGTTTTCTTTTCTTAGTGAGGCTTCTTGACAACCACACATCCTTTCAGACCCATAGCTCTGAGTTGTTTTCTCTCGGATGGACAGAAACACTTGTGGATTTTTTCAGATCTAAAGCAGCTTGATTTTCTCCTCTCTCTCAAAGATGAAAGCTTTAAACACTGTTTAACTGATTGGGACAGGTTTGGTGTCCACTAGGTTTTGCACGGTTGTTTGGAGTCCCATTTTTTCTGTAGCATTTATTTTTTGAACTCCAGATGTCCTTAGTCGCTCAAGTTATCTTATATCTCCTGAGAAATATCTTAGAAAAAGGCATAACTTACTTGTAAAGGCTGTTTTGACTGGACATTGAATAAATGAAAGGGTGGTCTTTGAACTGTGGACTTCTGCACAGTACATTACAATGTGTGCAATACAGCGTTTTGTTGTAGTTATGCACCGATATGTACATTTTTGCCAACACTGTGTCCACTGTTTCTGATTTGGAAAGTGATATATTTTGTCATTTTGGCATATTGGTGTGGATGGTATCAGTATCAGGCTGACAACAGCAGGAAATAATGGATCAGATATCAGAAAGAATGAATGTGATCCAATCCTGTAACAACTCTGTCCTGAAACAGTGCTTACTCACACTGTGTGATGTAGCTGTGTAGTTCTTGCTGTGGGTTAGTAGAGTGCCTGAGTAGTTTCAACATGATGGACTTCTTTTAGATGCGCTTTTTAAGTAAAGCGCTTCCATTAAAACTAGCTCATTTTACAGCTTAGTAGTTGTTAAAGAAAAAAATATCAGAGCTGATGCTCAATCATCCATACCAGTACTGGTATCAGAAAAGAAAACGTGGTATTGTGCCATCTCTTTTAAAAAAAAACAAAAAAAAAACCTTCTGTGCATGTTTGAAACGTGAAATTTCTATTTTTGTCAAATATTTTTAATTATATGATGGAAGAATTAGTTATTAAGTTAGTACGTTTTAAAAATAAGTGCAACATTAACTGTAAAATGTAGCCTACATTGAATATTGTATAAAAACATTGTTTGTCAGTGATTGCATAAAATAAATAATCACCTCTTCAGTGCTTTCTTCCAAGTTCTAATATTAAAACACATTTTCAGAATGTACCAAAGATAAGCTATAAAAATAACCCAGAGTCATGTAAGTTTCTTTTGGGCAGATGAGAGTACGTTCACAGCCTCAATTCACTGTAGCAAAATATCCAGTAATGTTTAAGATTTGATATTCTTTAGCTTAAGCTGCTTAGCTTTTCTTGTAGGCCATATATGTCAGTGTCACGATTAGCAGTTCAAGGTATTATCTTCTCAGGTTGAAGCTCAGACAATTCTAACCTGACTCAAAGTGTTGATGTAAGGCATCATAGCAGGGATTATTTAAGTCAGGCTGATAAATGTGGATAAACAGCTGATTGGGGATTAAACCTCAGTGTTCGGTGTGATCTTGGGAGAGGCAGGTGCTTACTCATCTTTTTTTGGATTAATCCTTCTTATAATCTGGAACACGCAAGTGCTTAAAAGCAACACTAATGGTTCACATAATCAGCCATTTTCCACCACAGAGGTCCTGTGGGAAAGCTGGAGATTCTGGCTTTGGATTTCTTGTAATGTGATTTGTTTCTTGTTTATTGTGTTAATGTATTATTTTGATTGCTTTACGGTTAGAATATTGACCCTCTTGAACAGTGAGTAAAACAGATTGTGGTTTGGTTCCAGTTTTCTCACTGCACTCCAGCCATCATATGGATTTGTTAAATTCCACGAGCAGCACCTGATTTACCATAATTAAATGTTTATTAGATAAATCAGAAATTTCTGCCACTAGGAGAGGTTTGGAAGTGGGTAACTTTGACATATGTACAATCATTACTTGTATTAATTTGTGTTTATTCTAATATTTGTGTTTTTCTGAGTAAATAAACATCTACTGAGTAATTAAACAGCTTGTGAAAACAGATTGTCTCAGATCCCTAAACCTTTGCACAGTATTCGGGTTTTATATTGTTACTTTTTTGTGTCTTTATTTTTTAATCCTTCATTCTGTTTTTGCTTTTTGTTTTCATTCTTATTCCCTTTTCTTATTTCATCTTTATTTATTTGTATTTTACTTTTACTTTTAATGATAATTTTATTCAGTTTATTCCTGTTCACTGTTTATTTACACTGTTATATTTTATCATGAACGCCTTGAGCTGCATGATGATATTGGTATCATATCAGTGTCAGCAGATGTTTGCTTAAAAAGCATCCAACAGCAGATACATGAAGAAGCATAACCATATTTCTGTTTTTTGTTGTTTATAGGACAGCTTTCCAGCCAGATTCGGAGGGATCCATTTTGTGAACCAGCCATGGTACATCCACGCTCTGTACACGGTCATCAGGCCCTTCCTGAAGGACAAAACAAGGAAAAGGGTGAGTGAGAGAGAGAGAGGGAGAGGGAGAGGGAGAGAGCTAATCAGATTAGCACTAACATCAATAACTTCGGAGAATGTCACTAGATAAAGGACAAGCAGGCCTCCGATAGTCATTAACTGTTTGTTTTGTTCCTGCTGTGCAGATTGTCGTGCTTGGGAATAATCGTTCAGTGCATCGCTTGTGTAGTCCATTAAACTAACAACGTTTCCTTATTGTCAAATATTTCTACAAAGAAACTGGAAACATTATGGATGAAAACACATCAGTTATGAAGTCAAATGTTTTAACTGGCTCATTATCAAATTAAAAAGCAGCCTGTGATGAATATTGTATATTATATAAAGAGTTTGTAGAGTTTATATCAAACAGAAATTCCAAAAAAAAAAAAAAACTTTACTTTCATCCGTATAAATATAGATTACCCTGACAGTGCTGTGTATCACATCAGTAATGTAATAGAAAGAGCCAGGCAGGCATTAGATGATCATTATCTGTTTTCTTCCTGCTGTGTCATGCGCAGATCTTCATGCATGGGAATAATCTGAATAGTCTACACCAGCTGATCGTGCCAGAGATCCTGCCCTCAGAACTGGGCGGCATGCTGCCCCCCTACGACATGGGGACGTGGGCCAGGACGCTGCTGGACCACGCCTACGATGAGGAAACTGACTACTGCCCTGAGTCCTACACGCTCTCAGTGAAGGACCTGGAGAAAGACCTGTCCCCAAAAACCATGAAAAGGTCAGTTAATCCTTCCCCATCTGCCTGCTTATCTTACGCACGTGATATGTGCATGTTTATTCATAAAACCAATAGTTTTTATTCTAAAATTTGGTTGGCTGAGCTGTCAAATATGTGATATACACATATACAATACTGTACAAGTGTTGGGCAGCCAGAAAAAATGTTTAAAACCTAATTATTTTGGCAGTAAAAGGTGTTTTTGCCATTTGTTTATTTGTATTATTTCTAATGTTAGTGATTTTATGCATACAACTGTATGTTGCTTGGCAACCATTAAAATATACTACCAAAGGTATTTACACATATATACATATATTTAATTTACATTATTATTGTTAACTTATTGCTTTAATTAAACCGTAGAAGTCAGAGAGTTATTATCATTTCCATACATTTGACATTTTATACATAATTATATCATTAATGGTGGACAGTAATGGCATGTGCTTCATTAATGTATTCAAGTACTTTTTTTCAAGTTTTGTTATTTCCATTTCTTATTATGGCTTTTACTCGACTCCATTTCATAATAAAGACCCTACTTTCGTATGTGTTGAAAATGAAACCTGTTTCATTTTTTTTCAGCAAACTTTTCATTAATTTTATGTATGCAGACACACAGATGTTAATAGAGACTGTTCATCGAAATAAATGTAACAAATATAATAACTAAAACGGCTCACAGTGGATGAGAGCGGGGCACAACCTAATACAGTTTGATTTTTGCAAAATAATTTGAAAAATATTTAAGCTGGAATAATCATGTTTTTATACAAGCAACATATACATCTCTGCTACCAACGACCGCTTCAACTTTGTTTTCTAGCACCAACCATTCAGGTACAATTACGCTGAAAATGACGGGACATGCAATGTTGCAGTTACCTCATGGGTGGGTTAACTGTAACAGACGGAGGGTCAGTTTAACACCTGCTAGAAAAGTCTGATGAATTAGTGCAAACAAAGTTAATTCAATATAGTTCTATGGTGTAAGAAGCAAATATATTTTCCAACCAAACTGCATTATATATATTAACTATCTATAAAACAGACATTAACGCTGTGTTACAAATAACCCCGCAGTACGGAGGCTGTACTTGAGCCCAGCTAGCACTTGCTGTGAGCTTGTCACCTGCTTTAAATAGGTGCCGCATTATAGCCAAAAAGAGAGTGATTGGATTTTGCAATTTATCAGCACAGTAACTAAAAAAACTTGCGTTGAAAAAAACACATGCCCTGAAAACACTTTGGCACAGATCTCTTTAAAACACTGACGAAACGCTCTGAAGTTTGGTGGGAAACTGTGGCTATGAAATGTGATAATGTGGCCAGAAGCACACACTGCTTTACCTTCTTTAACAACGTAAAAAGTCTGTGTTAAATTGTGCCCCGCGTTATCTTGTTACCTACGCACTACTTTTAATTTTGATACTTTAAGTACTTTTGTACTTTTGTACTTAAGTAGAAATTTACATTTTTTTCCTCAAATGAAAGTAATTTTGTAGCAACAGTAACAGTGCTTTCACATAAAGTACATACTGTGTATTATTTTGTCCACCATACATTTTTTGTACATAATTACTTTGGCATGCAGTTACATAATACATTATATTTCCATTTGATTTACATTATGTATTTATAAGTTTGAGTTTCTTTGTTTTGATTAAATAAAATACAAAAATGTGGCATAAATGTAAACAATATTTTTTGCAAAACAACCTTTTAGACAAAATAATAATTGTTCATCAGATTCAAATCATAAAGCGTCTCCTTACAAACACAAATGCAATATTTGGAAAAATTAAAAATTGTAATTGTGAATGAATTTCTCAGCTTGTTTTAATGATCTATTCATACAGAAATAATTGCTCCAAAATGACAACATTTTTGTTGTTGCTGGCGACGACTGTCGCTTCTGAGGGTTAAAAGCAAAAATGCATCATTAATGTTTGTGTTCTTCATGCTGTTGTGAGGTTATTGCATCATTACACTGAGCAGTTGCCAGCTGAGTCGGATGGATGTGAAATTGTTGATGAGCTTACGTTAAAAATTGAGTGTGTGGGGGTCCGCTTCATTAGGATTTGAGGTCGCCTGATCTTTACTCACACAGACAATGCGTGATTAATGGGAGATGCAGTGAGCTAGTTAACATGGCTGAAATTAATCTGATGTGAACAGTTCTGTTCAACAATGTACAAGGAATAGCGCTAATTATATTGGCTTGTTTGGTGGCAGAAACACACAGTTAGTTTGTTGCCAGTGTTCGTTCCTTTGTTTGTTCGGCGTTCATTCTTTTGAATCGCTCCGAGGGCTGCCTGAGAGCACATCACTGAGCAGCTCGCGAGACGTGCAAATGAGCAGCAGTTCTCAGAAAGGCCTGTGCGCAAACATTCACCGGAGCCTCGTTGTTACATACTACCTTCTTTAAGCAGGCAAAGGATTTTTGTAGTTACCCTCCAGATTAAAATGATAGAGAAAGTTCAGTGAAAAGCTAAGTTTTTATCATTTGGCCCTTTTCCCCAGTGTAGTCAATTAGCCAAGATATGGCTCTGAAGTTTGTTTTTTTTAGATTTGCACTGGAGCTATAAGGCTAATGTACGAGTAATGATAGCTGACACCCCACCAGTGAAGACTGTGCACATTGCATGGCTAAATCATCACACACTTGCCTCAAACCATGTGCAGTTATTAAGTAATCCCAAAGAGACTTTCTTATATGGTTTCTGACACTGTGTGTGACATACTTAATTTCAGGGAGGAATAAAACCAAAAAAAGGAAATTTAAATGTGTGATGAATCAGGCTGGGTCAGATGCACATAGATGCATACAGGCTGAGATTAATACCAAAAAAAACAGTAATGTGAAAACATGAGGCAAAGAGCAAAAACCATGAACAGTCCAATATCAATCAGGGGAAAAACAGTTAACCAAAACTACAAAAAGGGCAAAGCAAAAATCGTCCAAAAATACAGGTAATGGTCAAAAACATGGAACGCTTAGTATGTACAGGAACGAGATCCCTGGGGAATACTTCTCAAAGTGTGAGTGGTGAGCAAACAGTATTTAAAGAGTCCGTTGATGACAAGCAGCTGGCGCTCGTCAAAACTCAGGTGAGCTAGATCTCTGGAAAGGTGATTCATGATTGAATTGAATTGAATTCAGAACCATCGGCCAACTGTGTTTGCACGCTGTGGAATTAGACCTCCGCATTTAACCCATCCGTGCAGTGAAACACCCACATACATGCACACTAGTGAACACACACTAGGGGGCAGTGAGCACACTTGCCCTGATGTATTATTCACGTTATTCACTGTAGCATCCTGGAAAGGGAGTTTTGTGGCAGATGAGCCTCTCAACCAACCAAGCTGGAGGGAAGCATGACAAAAGGAAGTTGGCTGGTATTAATGTAGGTCTTACATTTTTAGGTCACAACACTGGTGTTGCACAAAATTCAGCATCATTCAGAGACACAGTTTGAAATCCTTTTATAATTAAAATTAGCCTTTTTCTACTCAGTGGATGATGTACCAACCTGTTAGTTTGTAAGAGAAATATACTCCTAGCTAACATCAGCTAGAGGAACATATTTAACCCAGAGCCCAGTTAACTTGACAGTGCATCCTTGGAAACACACTCACATTAACGCTGGCAGTGTAATTCAAATGAGGAAAGAACTAAATGAAATAACTAATACTGAAATATCTGCTGTAAATATTCTTGGTATACGTCTCAGCACCTTAACTGAAGTGTACGGCTGGCTTTTGGCATTCATGTTTCAGAGTAGCAAAGTGTAATGTTTTAATACAGCCAATCTCGACACATACAGTCCTGTTAAAACACTGAATTGTTAGCCTGGACATTTCCTTCATCTTCCTGAAATGCAGCATTTTCAGTATTCCAACACTGGCATTTGCAACGGTTAACCATGGGTAAAATTATTAACCTATAAAAACGGACAAAAGCGCATTACATAGCTAAAGGCAGTAGCAGCAGCCATCATGCAGCCTGAATTTGGTCCACTTTGTAAATTTTCAGATATAGTCTTTCTGAGACTTCTTAAAAACTTGACACATTTTATAACAAGAGGGTGAATATTTAGGCATGAATCTATAAAAATGGTCAGTAGTATAGACAAGGTCCGTAATTAGAACTGATCCCTGTTTGCACTGTAGGGCCTGATATTTACGTAGGTCTTTTTTCTCTTAGTGTCTGAACTGTAAAATGGAATTCCAGAGTAATTTAGAGGCACTACAATCTCCCACAATGCACTTGTAATTTAGAGTGAACACCATCGATCTCTATATATATGTCAGAGTGCATTTACTACTTGTTACTAAACAATGGACAGAATAACATTAGCTAGCATTAACGGTAGCTGGTGAGCCTGTTATTAACTAAGCATATCAGATTCTCTCGACCTCATTTCTTTAAGTCTAAGTTTAAGCTGCTGTTACTGGTTTCAGCTATGCAGAGTACAGCATGTCAGACAGTGTAAGACACCACATAAAAAGTCTGAGATTATTTAAAGGGCACATACCCTCTATTGTTCTTGTATCCATTTATGATGTTTAAATGGGTTTATGTACCAAAAATAGTCATAATTTATTTTTACATGGCCACTTTTAGACCTCTGTTTATTAGCCTGGCCTGTATATATGTAAGTGAACTCCATTCTGATCATCTGCCCTGCATTGTGCCTCATTCAAAAAGCAGTCCTGGCTGAAACACTCCTTATAACTATGAATAGGGGCTAAACTGCTGTAGGCTAAATAGGTGGTTATATGTAAACGTGTTGGTTTTCAGGACCAAAATAAAGACTATGAAGTCTGTTTTTGCAGTTTAGTGTACATATATAGACTGTATGGACTTGGGAGTGGACGGCATATTTAAAAGTTTAGCAATGTTTATATACTACAGTAAACTTCACAAAATTGAGGAACATTTAATCTATAATGATATGGGCTACTTTAGCCTCATAGCCCGAGTACAAAAC